TGAGTACATGTGATAATTGTCTTTCTGGGTCTGGGTTACCTCACGCAATATGATGTTTTCTAGCTTCATCCATTTACCTGCAAATTTCAAGATGTCATTATTTTTCCCTGCTGTGTAGTACTCCATTGTGTAAATGTAACACATTTTCCTAATCCATTCCTTGGTCGAGGGGCATTTAGGTTGTTTCCAGGCTCTGGCTATGACAAATAATGTCATATGTCCTTGTGTTATGATTGAACATCCTTTGGGTATATATCCAAAAGTGGTATTGTTGGGTGTTGAGGAAGGTCGTTTCCTAATTTTCTGAGAAATCTCTACACTGACATCCAAAGGGGTTATAACAGCTTGTATTCCCACCAGCAATGCAGAAGTGTTCCCTTTACCCCACATCCTCTCCAGCATAAGTTGTCATCAGTGTTTTTGATCTTAGTCATTCTTACAGATGGAAAATGGAATCTCAGAGCTGTTTTGATTTGCATTTCTCTGATGACTAAGGATGATGAGCATTTCCTTAAGTGTCTTTCAGCCATTTTAGATTCCTCTATTGATAGTTCTCTGTTTAGGTCTGTACTCTATTCTTTTATTGGGTTATTTGTTCTTTTGATGACCAATTTATTGAGTTCTTTGTATATTTTGGAGATCAGACCTCTATCTGATGTGGGGTTGGTGAAGATCTTTTCCCATTCTGTAGGCTGCCGTTTTGTCTCATTGACCATGTCCTTTGCTTTACAGAATCTTTTCATTTTCAGGAGGTCCCATTTATTAATTGTTTCTCTCAGTGTCTATACTACTAGGGTTGTATTTAGGAAGTGGTCTCCGGTGCCAATGCATTCAAGTGTACTTCCTACTTTCTCTTCTATGAGGTTCAGTGTGACTGGCTTTATGTTGAGGTCTTTGATCCATTTGGACTTGAGTTTTGTGCATGGTGATAGATATGGATCTATTTTCATTCTTCCTACGTGTTGCTATGCAGTTATGCCAGCACCATTTGTTAAATATGCTTTCTTTTTTCCATTTGATATTTATTGTTTTTTTTTTTTTTTGTCAAAAATCAGGTGTTCGAAGGTGTGTGGATTAATATCCGGGTCTTTGATTCAGTTCCATTGGTCCCCCTGTCTATTTTTATGCCAATAGCAGGCTATTTCCAGTACTGTAGCTCTGTAGTAGAGTTTGAAGTCAGGGATTGTGATGCCTCCAGAAGTTCTTTTATTGTACAGAATTGTTTTGGCTATCCTGGGTTTTTTGTTTTTCCATATGAAGCTGAATACTGTTCTTTCGAGGTCTGTTAAGAATTTTGATGGGCATTGCGATGAATCTGTAGATTGCTTTTGGTAAGATTGCCATTTATGTTAATTCTACCTACCCATGGGTGCATGGGAGATCTTTCCACTTTCTGGTGTCTTCTTCAATTTCTTTCTTCACAGATTTAAAGTTCTTGTCATACAAGTCTTCCACTTGTTTGGTTAGAGTTTGGTTAGAGTTACTCTGAGATACTTTATGTTATTTGTGGCTATTTTGAAGGATGCTGTTTCTTTGATTTCTTTCTCAGCCCATTTATCATCTATGTAAAGGAGGGCTACTTTTTTTAGTTGATCTTGTATCGTGCTACATTACTGGAAGTGTTTATGAGTTGTGAAGTTTCTTGATAGAATTTTTGGGGTCGCTTATGAAATTATCATATCATCAGCAAATAGTGAGAGTTTGACTTCTTTTCCGATTTGTATCCCCTTGATCTTCTTTTGTAGTCTTATTGCTCTAGCTAGGACCTCAAGAACTATATTGAATAGCTATGGAAAGAGAGGACAACCTTGTCTTGTTCCTGATTTCAGTGGGATCTCTGTGAGTTTCTCTCCATTTAGATTGATGTTGGCTGTTGGCTTGCAGTATATTGCCTTTATTATGTTTAGGTATGTTCCTTGTATCCCTGCTCTCTCCAAGACCTTAATCATGAAGGGATGTTGTATTTTGTCAAAAGCTTTTGCAGCATCTTATGACATGATCATGTGGTTTTTATTTTTCAGTTTGTTTATATGGTGGATTACTTTGACAGATTTTCGTATGATGAACTATCCCCACATCTCTGGGATGAAGCTGACTTGATCATGGTGGATGATGGTTCTGATGTGTTCTTGGAATCAGTTTGTCAGTATTTTATTTTGTATTTTTGCATCAATGTTCATGAGTGAGATTGGTCTGTAATTCTCTTTCTTAGTAATTTCTTTATGTGGTTTGGGTATCAGGATAATTGTAGCCTCATAAAAAGAGTTTGGCAATGTTCCTTCTGTTTCTATTGTGTGGAACAATTTGAGGAGTATTGGTATTAGTTTTTCTTTGAAAATCTTGTAGAATTCTGAGCTGAAACTATCTGGTCCAAAATGGCTGGGGGACTTTTGATGACTGTTTCTATTTCTTTGACAGTTATAGGTCTATTTGATTTGCTTATCTGGTCTTGATTTAATTTTGATAACTGAAAATTATCCAGAAAGTTTTTTTTATTTCCTTTAAGTTTTCCAATTTTGTGGAGTACAGTTTTTTTTTAAATATGAACTAATGACTGTCTGGATTTCCTCTGTGTTTGTTGTTATGTCCCCCTTTTCATTTCTGATTTTGTTAATTTGGATATTCTCTCTCTGCCTTTTGGTTAGTTTGAATAAAGGTTTGTCTATTTTGTTGATTTTCTTGAAGAACCAACTCTTTGTCTCATTGATTCTTTGTTTTGTTTTCTTTCTTTCTATTTTGTTGATTTCAGCTCTCAATTTGACTATTTCCTGCCGTCTAGTTCTCTTGGGTAAGTTTGCTTCTTTTTGTTCTAAAATTTTCAAACGTTCTGTTAATTCACTAGTGTGGGATTTTTTTTTCAGCTTCCTTATGTAGCCATTTTGTGCTATGAACTTTCCTCTTAACACTGCTTTCATTGTGTCCCATAAATTTGGGTATGTTGTGTGGTCATTTTCATTGAATTTTAGGAAGTCTTTAATTTCTCCCTTTATTTCTTCCTTGACACATTGATGCTTCAAGTGAACATTGTTTAATTTTTATGTGTTTGTGGGCTTTCTGGAATTAGTGTTGCTGTTGAATTCTAATTTTAAGCTGATAAGATACATGGGGTTGTTCCAGTTTTTGGTTTTTTTTTTTTTTTTTGTATCTGTTGAGGTTTGTTTTGTTACCGAGTATGTGGTCAATTTCTCAGAAAGTTCCATGAGGTTCTGAGAAGAAGGTATATTCTTTTATATTTGGGTGGAATATTCTATAGATGTCTGTTAAGTCCATTTGAGTCTTAACATCTGTTAGTTCCCTTGTTTCTCTGTTCATTTTTTGTCTGACTGACCTGTCCAGGAGTGAGAGTGGAATGTTGAAATCTCCCACTATTAGTGTGTGGGATTTAATGTGTGATTAAAGCTTTAGAAGTGTTTCTTTTACATATGAGGGTGCCCTTGTATTGGGGGCATAGATGTTCAGTATTGAGATTTCCTCTTGATGGATTTTTCTTATGACTAATATGAAATGTCCTTATTTGTCTCTTTTGATTGATTTTAGTTTGAAGCCCATTTTGTTAGATATTAGGATAGCTACACCAGCTTGTTTCTTAGGACCATTAGATTGGAAAATGTTTTCCCAACCCTTTACTCTGAAGCAATGTCTGTCTTTGAGGTTGAGGTATGTTTCTTGTATGCAGCAGAAGGATGAATTCTGTTTTCATATCCAATCTGTTATCCTATGTCTTTTTATAGGTGAGTTGAGTCTATTTATATTAAGGGATATTAATCACCAGTGATTGCTATCTCCTGTTAATTTAGTTTTTGTTGTTGGTGATGTTAACTTGTATGCTTTTCCCTTCTTTGGGATTTACTGCTGTGAGATCAGTTGTTTATGTTTTGGTTGATCTAGGCAACTTTCTTGGGTTGGAGTTTTCCTTCTAGTACTTTGTGTAGGACTGGGTTTGTAGCTAGGTATTGGTTAAATCTGGTTTTGTCATGGAATATCTTCTTTTGTCCTTCTATGGTAATTGAAAGCTTTTCTGGATGTAGTAATCTGGGTTGGCATCCATGGTCTCTTAATGTCTGCATAACGCTTGACCAGGACCTTCTGGCTTTCATTGTTTCCATTGAGAAGTCAGGTGTAATTCTCATAGGTCTGCCTTTATATGTTACTTGGCCTTTTTTTTCAGCTCTTAATATTCTTTCTTTATTTTGCATGTTTAGTATTTTGATTTTTATTTGGCGAGGAGACTTTTTTTTTTTTTGATCCAGTCTGTTTGGTGTTCTGTAAGCGTCTTGTATCTTCATAGGCATATCTTTCTTTAGGTTGGGAAAGTTTTCTTCTATAATTTTGTTAAATATATTTTCTGTGCTTTTGAGTTGAACTTCTTCTCCTTCTTCTATACCTATTATTCTTAGGTTTGGTCTTTTCATGGTGTCCCATATTTCCTGGATATTTTATGTTAAGTTTTTTTAGATTCAATGTTTTCTTTGACTGCTGAGTCTATTTTCTCTAGTGTATCTTTAGCACTTGAGATTCTCCCTTCCATTTCTTGTATTATGCTGTTAATGCTTGTGTTTGTGGTTCCTGATCATTTTCTCATGATTTCTGTTTCTGTAATTCCCCTAGCTTGTGTTTTTTTTTTTCTTGTCTCTATTTCGGCTTTCAAGTCTTAAATAGTTTCTTTCATATGTTTCATTGCTTTTTTTGTTTGTTTGTTTTTGTTTAAGGGATTTGTTGATGCCTTCCAATTTTTTTGTTTGTTTTTTCCTCCATTTCTTTGAGGGAATTTTTTATTTCCTCTTTAAGGGCCTCAAACATTCTCCTAAAGTTATTTTAGGTCATTTTCTTCTGCTTCATCTATATTTGGTTGTCCAAGTGTTGCTTTTGAAGGGACATTAGTTTTTCCTGGTGTCGTGTTGCTCTTTGTAGTGTTGCATGTGTTCTGACCTTGTCTACCCATCTTTTCCTATGATTGGTGTGGTTGGGGCTGACTGTGACTCTGGTGATCAATCTTCCAGGTGCCAGTGGATGGATCCAAGGCTCAGATGGTTGCTCCTCGTGGTGCAGTCAGTGCCACAGTTCCAGTCACCTCATTGGTCACTCCGTGTCCTGGAGGTCGCTTCGTGCTCCTGAGGTTTGCCTGCTCCGGCCTAAGTTGCCGGCTCAGTCCTGTTTCTGTAAATGTCCCTGGTCTAGATCTGCTCCTGCGGAGGTCCCTGTCTTGAGGTTGGTTCCACAAAGATCTCTAGCTCTGATCTACTCCCTGGAGGTCCCAGATTTGAGTGTGCCCGAACCTGCAGAGGTCCTGGCTCAGGGACCTCAGAGGTCTCAGACTCATACCTGGACCTGCAGTGGTTTCTGGTTCCTGCCTACTCCCTTGAAGATCCCAGACCAACGCCCAGACTCGCAGAGGTCCTGACTCAGGCCTACTCCCTCAGAAGTCTCAGACTCATGCCTGGACCCACAGAGGTCTCTGGCCCTGGCTGCCCCTCTGTACCTACTCTGGCGCAGGTCGCTGTCTCAGTCCTGCCTCTGCAAATGTCCCAGATCTGGATCCGCTCCCCTGGAACTCACAGTCTCAGGTCTGCTCTGGCCTGGGTCACCAGCTCAGTCCCATTCCCATGGAGCTTACCGCCTCAGGCCCACTCAGGACTAGGTTGCTGGCCCAGTTCTGCTTCCGCAAATGTCCCTGGTCTGGATCCGCCCCTGTTCCTGTGGAGTTCACCTTCCCAGGCCAGCCCCAGTCACTGACTCAGTCCAGTTCCTGTGGAGTTTGCTGCCTCAGGCCTCATTATTGTGTCTTGATGAGGAATGTTGGCCTATTGTTTTCTTGCAATATATATATTTGGTTTTGATATCAGAATAATGGAATGTTATCTTAAAAACATTACTTAAAAAAACTTTCACCTCATCTTTTGCTTTCTGAAAGAGTTTTGTAGGATGGATATTATGGCCTTCTAAACTGTTTTTTCTAAACCAGAATTCGCTGGTTTTGAAAACCTTTGAACCTAGACTTTTCTTTATGAGAAAGTTTTGGTTTGTAATGTTTTATAAGATTGATGATGATTTCTTGATTCCACATTGGTGATTTGTCTTTCAAGAAATTTATTCCTTTACTCATTATTATTTTTAACTTCTACGGAGCTGTACAGATGTCTCTTCTCTCATTTGATGTATTGGTTACTTCCATTTTTTATTATTATCTTAACTCATGGTCTATCAAGAAACCTGAAGTATAGTTTTCCCTTTTTCTTTTGTGTATGTGTACAGTGTGTGTGCACACATGTGAGTGTAGATACACATGTGTGAAAGTGGGAGTTTGGTGTTAGCTGTCTTTCCCATTCTCTTTCCACCATATTTTTTTGAGACAGGGTCTCTCTGTGAAGCTGGGACTAACTGATTGGCTAGGACATCTGGCCAGCAAGCCCCAGAGATACTCTTGTCTTACCCTCCCCAACACTGGCTTTTCAGTGAACTTTTACAATACTGACTTTTTTTAAAATTTTTTTTGAAATTTAATATATATATTATATGTATTGAATGTTTAAGATTTTAAAGGTACAAATATTTGTATGATAAATCATCTGTATTAAATCAACTATGGGGAACTATAGCTTTCTATTACATAAATATTAAAAAAATTCATTTTATGTACTGGAGATATGGCTCAGCAGTTAAGAACTCTTGTTGTTCTAAATGCCCCTCAACTGAGGAATGGATAAGGAAAATGTGGTACATTTTCACAATGGAGTACTACACAGCAGAAAACAGTAACAACAGCTTGAAATTTGCAAGCAAATGCATGGNACACCTTTCATCTCAGGATTCAGGAGGCAGAGTCAAGCAGATTTCTTTCTGAGTTTGAAGCCAGCCTGGTCTACAGAGAGAGTTCTAGGACAGCCAGGGCTACACAAAGAAACTCTGTCTCAAAAACAAAAACAAAGGAAGTATACTTTTAATATATTCTTGTACTCTGTTTATTGTAAATGTCTTTACCTTCCACTGATAACAGCTATAAAAAAACAAGTGACTCTTCAGTGGTAAATTTTTCTGAATCTCTAACAATATCACAATCTGACAAGCTATATTAAAATCATTATAAGTAAACAAAATGTTTGCTAAGTTTCCTTACAACACTGACTTTTACATAGGTGCTGGAAATCAAACTTAGGTCGTCATGCTTGCCTGACAAGCAGTTTGCCAACTGAATTATCCACCAGCTCTTGCTTTTGTGTTTGTGAGAGACAAGGCTACACATAGCCTAGGATAACATATAACCTGCTATGTAGCTGAGGAAGACTGAATTCTTGACCTTCCTACCACCCCCTCCTGAGTGGTAAAATTACAGGTGTGTGTCAAAATGTCAGGGTTGTAATGCTTGTTGCTTTTTCAGAGAACTAGCTTTTCATTTCATAGACTTCATTTTTCTTTTCAATTTTCTTAATTCTGTTATTTTCTCCCTTGTCTTTTTTGTATTGTTCTTAGTACTTTTTCTAGTTTCTTATGATAGAAACGTAGCTCATTGGGCCAGGTGGGATGGTACATGCCTTTAATTCCAGCACTTGGGAGGCAGGGCAAATGGATCTCTTTGAGTTTGAGGTCAGCCTGGTCTATACAGCAAGCTTCAGAGCAGGTTAGATAGTGAGACTCTGTCTCAAAAACAAAATTTAGCTCATTGATTTTTAATCCTTTTGACTAATATGAGCATTTTGAGCTACAGATTTCTGTGTAAGCACCAATTTAGCTGCTTCTCACAAATTGTGATGCAAAATATTTTCTCTTTAACATGACTTAGTTTAAAATATAGAGTTTAAAATAATATTTAGTTAACTCTCAAATATTTAAAAGCTTTTCTATATAGTTATTTTTGGAACTGTAATATAATTACATTTCCCCCCTCCCCCTTTTCCCCCTCAAATCCTTCCATATACCACCCTTGTTTTCTTTCAAATACGTTGCCTGTATTTTTCATTAATTCTTGTTACATGTATATGTGTATATATACATATATTCCTAAATATAACTTGCTGAGTCCATACAATGTCACTTGTATGTATATTTTCAGGACTGACCGTTTGGGATTGGATAAGCAATTGGTGTGCACTTCCCTGGGGAAGACGATTTCTCCTGCTCTCAGCTTTCCGTAGTTGCCTGTATGTAGTTCTTTGCGTAGGGCTGAGGCCCTATGGTCTTTCCACCTCCATTTTAGCACGTCTATTGTTGTTCAGCTCATGTTTGGACAGTCATGTTGGTGACACTTTTTGGGTACAGCTTCTTATGTTATGAGGAGTCACATTCTCCCAGCAAACACCCAGATCCTCCTGCGCTTACAGTCTGGTGCTTCAGTGGTTGTGGGCCACCATGTGGGTGCTAAGATCTGAAACCAGGTCCTCCACAAGAGCAACAAGCGTTGATAGCCACTCAGCCGTCTCTCTAGCCCCTATTTTTATTTTTATTTAATTTAGTTTTTACCAGAGAACATACTCTCTACATCATTTCAATCCTTTTATGTTTATGGGAAAATTTTAAAGGCTGCAAATGATTTATCTTAGAAAATGTTTACTATAAAATCTGTAAAGAATATTTGGTCTGCTGTAATTGAATGAAATTTCCATCTTTATTAACTAAGTCAGATTGACTGAGAGTATGGTTTGCATCTTCTATTAACACTACTAATTGTTATTGTTTCTTCTGTCAATTGCTGAGAGAGCTGAAATTTCCAACCATGATTTTAGAGTTCACGATTTCTTCTTCTTCTTCTTCTTCTTCTTCTTCTTCTTCTTCTTCTTCTTCTTCTTCTTCTTCTTCTTCTTCTTTTTTGTTTTTTCAAGACAGGGTTTCTCTGTAGCTTTGGAGCCTGTCCTGGAACTCACTCTGTAGACTAGGCTGGCCTCGAACTCACTTACCTCTGCCTCCTTTGATCCTTATGCCTTTAATCCCAGCATAACATTAAAGGCATGCACCAACACACCTGGCTCTGTCCCTTTCCTTTGAATCAAATGATCTGGGAGTTTTTGTTTGTTTTGTTTTGCTGTGTGGTGCTAGACATGGAACCTAGGACCTTTGTGCCTGCTAAGCTTAATTCAAAAGAAAGGGACAAAGAAGAGATGAGACAAATAGAAAACAAGCAGAAAGATGGATATAAAGCTAAATGCTTTTTTAGGATTTTTTCCCTCGTTACTTGCTTACTAGCTAGAATTTGGCTGGACTTTTTATAGTTGATTTGGCTTTTATATCATAATTTTATTATATTTTATTTAGGTGTGTGTGGAGGTGGGGGGTGTTTGTGTGGGGGTGCATGTGTCAGGGTGCATGCACCTGTGGAAGTCAGGAGACAAGTTAGGGAAATCTGTTCTCTTCCTCCCACCATGTGTATTCCAGGGGTTGAACTGAAGTCATCAGATTTGGTGGCAAGTGCCATCATCTTACTGGTCCCAGCATGAAATTTAATTTAGAGTTTGCTTTCAAATATTGTTACTTTATTTCACATAAAGCAAGGTTCTCCCATTTCTCCCTTTCCTTTCTATAATTATAGTCAGGTGCTTCTTTTTAATGTTGTAAACGCTTAGATGCATTGTTATCCATTTTGCTTTAAATAGTCTGTTATATTTTTATCTTAAAGTGTTTGCTAATTTACTTAAAATAAGAATAATAAATTAATTTGTCCTACTATAAATAACATGTTTTGATGAAAAAGAACTATTTTCTAAGACTTCAGTTCCATGAGAAGAAAGGCTATCGCCATAGACTTCCGCCCATCTCTTTGCTCTCTGGCTTAGTAGGCGGCAGTCCATTCCCCACATGTGCTTCCTCTTTCAGTCTGCGCTGACATTGTCCTAGTTAAAGTATTTGACAAAAATGCAGCTCTGCGGGTGAAAGTGAGGGATGTTTAGCTGGAAAAGGAAGGAATGTTGTAATAATCTTTTCTGATAATTATGTGGATTCCTTGAATGTACCAAAGCTCTACGACGATGGTAGTTTCTTTAAGGTTAATGCAGTATGGAATCTGAAAGCATCTCAATGACTTTTTACATGCTGTTTGGTTAAATCTATACTTTGAATGGATATTTGACCCCTCTTATAATACAGTATTTGGAAAATATCAGTTCACTGAGTTATAAAAACATTCAAAATGTTCTCACGTTTTATGCAGCATAAAAAAAACATTGATATCATCCCTGAATTCGCTGGGGGAAGCTTAAGTTTTGAATGCTGTCATGCTCACA